TGTGAACAGGTGGTTCAGCATCGAGTGCTACATGTGGTACTGGACCTGCCAGGATGGCCGCCGTTGCATGCCATCAACCTCTACCTCGTGCCGAGCATCGACGCGACCACTCTGAACGCCAAGTATTTAGCTGCAGTTGGCAAGCGTTTCAGCGGGGTGGAGGGGCCTTGCTTAGTCGGGGGGGGGATTGGAACATGACACCTAGTGTTGTTGAAGCTTGTGGCTTCAGTGCTCTTGCTAGTGCTACCCTCGTCTCCCCATCACACTACACGTGTAGAGGAGGGACGGGTTCTTCTGTCATCGATTTTTTCGGGCTCAATGATCCGTGCATGCGAGCGTTTAAGGCAGTAAGCGTTGACAAGAAGTGGACGGTTCGTCCACATCGACCAGTAATCTTGGAGCTTGCGAGTAACGGGCATGGTATCCAGCATTTGGTATACACCGCCGCACCCAAGCTTCCAGTCACGGCCCCCATTGGACCTCAGCCTGCTCCCCCTAGTTGGTCGTTCGTCGAGGGTCCCGTCGATCGTTGTTCGGAGTTGGCTCATGATGAGCAGGCTGATCCTGGGGTTGCTTTCGGAGTTTTAAGTGCTGCCTGGGGCCATTTTGCCAAAAGAACTGCCAGTTACGTAGCTGAGTGCACGGGCACAGATGCTACGAACTTTGCAGGCTTCGGTCGAGATATAGCTCCGAGGTGGGTAAGCGTTGACTACCCAGTCCCCAACATCTCGGAGAAGGTTCTGCTTGCTGAGGGGTGGTCTTGGTTGCGCAATGCTGTGCAGACCCTTCTCCAGATGTCGTCTCACGACGAGGATGTCGAGCAGCAGGTCCTGTATGCTAATGAGGTTGCCACCTTTGCTGCTGACGACTATCCAGGATTTGGTCTCAGTGCTAGGCTAGATAACTCCTGTAAGCATGCACGTGAATTGTTTGATGATGGGCATCTTGATAAAAATGCTGTTCTAGAGCTTCTCGAGCAGATTACGGAAGATGTTGAAGTTGCCCAGAGAGCTGCTAATCGCGAAGCTGATGCCGATTGGAATGATTGGTGTGAGACTGCGTCATTAGGGGGAGCCAGGGGCCTACATAGGATCACCAAGGTTCGGAGTGTGTGTCCCCCCACGGTCGCCCATGATCCTTTAGGCCCCACGGCTGACCCCCATAGCGCTGTGCAGCATGAAGCTCGTGTGTATCAGGCGCTCTGGAAAGCTGGAGCGATTCCCCCTCAGGCATGGATACCTGATAGAGAGTCTTTTCCAGTCGCGAGCGTTGAGGACATACGTAAAGTGATTCGGTCATTTCCTGAGGGCACGGCAAGATCTCTCGATCAACTGCACCCTCGTCATTTTCAGCTGCTAGATGATAGCGGCCTCATGGTTCTTGCTAAACTTTGGCAGCGCTGCGAAGCGATAGGTCTCCTGCCTCGACAATTGCTCTGGGTTTTAATGCCAATGCTGCCGAAACCGACAAGCGGTCATAGGCTAATCGTACTTTACTCTGGCATGTATCGCATTTGGCAAAGGCTCCGCCGCCCCATGCTCAAGGATGTGTTGGATTCTTGGGACCGTGGGCACTGGGGGGCTACTCGGGGGAGGAATGCTGTGGATTGTGCATGGGTGTTAGCGGCCAGGAGCGAAGCCGATGTTGTCAACCATCGTTTTTCGGTTCTAGTCGTTGCCGACTACAGTAAATATTATGAGACGATTGATCTCATTCAGTTGCGTGATAAATGCATAGCGTTCCGAGTGCCGTCTCCCGTGCTAAAGTTAATTTTTAATGTTTGGCAAGCCCCAAGAATATTGAGGCTTCGCCAGCATCACTCGCTTGATTGCATGCATGCACAGTTCGGTCTTCCAGCAGGTGATTGCTTCAATGACTTGTGCATAAAAATACACGCAGTTCGTGAATTTGACTGGTTTGTTTCACGTCAGCCATCGCTCGTAAGTTTCATGTCGTACATTGATGATTCAGGCATCCAGATCTCTGCTGCAGACCGGCAGCGAGCCCTGGATCTAGCGGTGGCGGCGGGAAAAGATTTCCAGATTGCCAGTCGTAATATTGGTGCCACTCTGAATGATAAGATTGCTGTAGTTGCGTCATCGGAGGACTTGGCTAAAGATGTAGCAGCAAGTCTCCAGATGCAACGCAAGGTAGTCAAGAAGGCAATCACATATCTTGGAGTCGATTCGACCGCCGGTTTGCGACGTGCTGCGAAGGGCACAAGACCCAAACTTAGGAGTAGGTTGAAGGCTATGCAAAAGCGTGCTAAAAAGATCAGTAAGTTTCGCAAGTTTATAAAGCGCAAGCCAAAACAAGTCCTCCAAGGGGTCCTGCGTACTGGCCTGGCTCCTGCGTCGTCGTACGGCTCTGAGGTCTTGGGGTTCTCGGATGCTGAATTGGCGTCAATACGCAGAACCCAGTCGAGGCGACAGGCGCCCATGCACGGTGGCACTTCAGCTAGTGCTAAACTGGTCCTCTTTGGAGAGTGGGACGTCCGTGCTGCTTTGGGCCCCGTCTTGCAATGGAGTAGGATGGTTTGGATCTCCAAGGTAGCGCCCGAGAGAGCCCTTTTAAGTTTCCCTGCCCTCGTTTCCTTGTGGCAGCAGGCTAATGCGAGCAGCGTCGTTGACTGGAAGAATAGTCGAGGCCCGCTCAGTAGAGTTGTCTTGTGTCTCAAGAGGGCAGGTTGGTCGGCTCCCGAGGCTTGTGCTTGGATTGATCACCATCAGAATCCCATCGATATCAGTTTAGTGTCACCTCGAATGCTGCAGGAGTTGCTTGAAGCAGGCCTCCAGAGGCAGGCTGAGCTGGCCTTGGGCCAAAAACTCGGTTTTCCTCCTGGTTTTCGGGCCACTCTGGACCTGGTCAGGGACATGATGGTTCCACGTGTGAAAAGTTTCACTCGGCAGCAGCAGTTGTTGTTAAAGTGTGCAGCGTGTGATGCCAATTGGACTGAGAAGAGGGCCCAAGATGCGGGGTATCTTAGTTGTGGTCGTTGTGAGTGTGGGCAGGTAGATACCCCGCATCATCGCATCTACACGTGTACCAGGCCAGATGTGCTGGCTGCCCGTGAGATTGCCTGTGAAGATGTCCCCAATGAGTCGTTGCAGGTTGCCCTTCAGACGGATGATTGTCTGCACACTCGAGGCATCTTTGTCTATGATGACTCCCAGCTCGTTCCTCCCTCCCTCAGCTCGTCCTGTGAGGTTTTCGATGGGCAGGGTAACGAGCTCGACCGTCAGCCCGAGGAATTGGCTGCCCTCGTTCCGCCAGGACAGCCGCTTGAGCTCGCGGCCGACGGCTCGGCCACCAAGCAGATGCTTAGGCCGCTCCGACGCGCGGCCTGGTCGATTGCTCTGCTCTTGCCGAGTACGGCAGACATGGAGGCTGTGCTACGAGGCGTTGTTCCAGGCACCCTCCCCCAGAGCCCAGCTGCTGCGGAGCACGTTGCTGCTGCGTTGTGTGGCCAGGTCGCTGATCGCCCGACTCGGCTCGGTCTCGATTGTCTTGGGGTGATCCAGCACATTCAGAGACCTGTGGCCAAGCAGTTAGAGGCTCAGAATAAGTTGTCCGGCATCCGAAAATTCGCGTTTGAACTTGATGGTTCCAAGTTTTTGGAGGCTTTTCATGTGAAGGCCCACCGCTCTGATGAAGAGTTGAACCAGCTTGTAGGTGATGAATATCGGTTCGGCCAGGCCAATAAGATTGTGGACAACCATGCGAAGTTGGCCCTGGCCTCCCATCCTGCCCCCACCCCAGCCTTCTTGCATTCTGTTGAGGAGGCTGAGAGGAGAGCAGGGATTTTTGTGAAGCTCGCCAGTGCATGCCTCCCGCTCTTTCGGAATGAGATGAGGTGGAGACGTGCCCCGCCTAGTCAGCAGCGGTCTCGAGCCAAGCGTAGTTGGCACGAATGGCGTCGGACTGAGCTTGGAGTTCAGTGTGTTCACTGTCTAATTGTCAGCTCGTCTGGTGATCGCCCTGCTGACGGATGTCAGGGCACGCCCACGGCGATAGCTAAGTTGCTCGAGAATCCCATGGGCCATTCCCTCGTTGCCGTGTCGGGAACGGCTCTCAAAACTGCTTCTGGTGCTTCCTCGGGTCCTGTTTCGGGTTCTGGACGCACCGAGATAAAGGAGCAACAATGTTTGTGTCTCAACTGTGGTGGCTGGACTCAGGGAAGGATGATCAAACTTGCTAAGACTTGTGAAGCACCTACGTCTAAGGGCCTCGAGGTTTTGAGCGCGTTTCGTCGGGGGTTAGGGCCAAACCCAAGGTTGAGGGAACGTTTGGATAAGGCCATCCCCATTTCTCGACTTGATGCGACTCTCGCAAGCCCGAAAGAGGTGCAGTCTGTGTCGTCCGTCCCCAGAGGTTTCTCCTCTAGTGAAGAGGCCCCACAGTATGAGCAGAGAATGGCTGCCTTACTCGCCCGAGTTAAGGCCAAAGAAGCCAGTTCTCAATCGATGGCATATTTTTTTGTAACCTTGCCAGTCTTTGGTGTGTTCACCTTCCGACCTTTTCCAAGGCGATGTCTTATCTTATCCTCCTCCTCCTCCTCCTCCCCCTCCTTCCCCCCTCCCCCCCCCCTTCTCTCTTCTTCCTCCTCCTCTCCTTCATCCCCTCTCCTCCTCCTCCTCCCTCCTCCCTCCTCCTCCTCCTCCTCCTCCTCCTCCTGCTCTCCTCCCTCCTCCCCGCCTCCTCCTCCTCCCTCCCTCCCTCCTCCTCTCCTCCTCCCCTCCTCCTCCTCCTCCTCCTCCTCTCAACTCCTCCTCCCCTCATCTCCTCCCTCCCCCTCTCCTCCTCCTCCTCCTCCTCCTCCCCCTCCTCCTCTCCTCCTCGCTCCTCCTCCTCCTCCTCCTCCTCCTCCTCCTCCTCCTCCTCCTCCTCGTCATCGTCCCCCTGGGGGGTAGGGGAAGGGTTCGCACGCGGCCCCCTGGAGGTGCGGGAGAAACGCCCGGACAGAGGCGGGCATCTCGTCCGAGGTCTGGGCTCCCTCCTGCGTTCCCCTGCCCTCCCACCCCCCTCCGCGCAGCACGCGGGGGCCCCCCCCGCCCGCCCGGCTGCCCGCGAAAGCGCGGGGGGGGCTGCCGCGGGTGACCGAGCTCCCGCTCCACGGGGCGTCGGTGACGACCCAGCGGGGCGCCGGGGGGGGGCGCCGGGGGGGGGGGCGCAAGCATGCGCAGTCGCATGGGTGGGTAGCCCAATTACCTCAGATGCTCGTTCTGGAACCCTTCCCAGAGCCACTCGCTCCACTCATGCGACGATGTTGCATCGAACGTCCGTCGACTTGAGTGGAGCTTGAATCGAACCTGAGACGAGCTTGATTCGAGCTCGAGTCGAACAGATCCGTTTGGTGGGCCCCGGGAGGGTCCCCAAAACGAACATCTAGCCTACCCGTTGAAACCACCGCCACCATGATCGTACGGCCTTGGTGCTGGTTGTAGCAGCGAGACCGCTCGGGCGACCTCAGCAACACCACCACCACCAAGATCGGGGGATCCTTGGGTGAGGCGACCCCTGACCTCGACGACTCATGGGCGCTTCCCATGCCATCTTGCTCGATCTTGCGAATCGACGCTGACCGACACAAATCAACGCTAGCCGAAGCTGAACAGATGCTGATCGCAGTTGAGTCTGCGCTCTTTCATCGATTATCCGACGCTAGCTCACGCTGATGCCCTGGAACAACTGAATTTCGAGGACAGACAAAGCTCCCATAATTTGCTACCGACAGAAGGCGCCTTGCATGGACGCGTCACTGGCGCAGAGGTCCCAACCTCCCCCGCTCTGGAGCCGCCCCCCCTGGAGAATTCCGTCCTTTCCGAGACCAGCGAGAACCCTCCCCCGCCCCCCACCCCCACCCGCTCCTTTCGAAAGTCCGGGGGGGCAGGTCCGAACCCTTCCCTCCAAAATCTGGGGGGGGCGGGGTCGGGACCCCCTCGCCGCGGGCAGACGACGACGACGACGACGACGACGACGACGACGACGACGACGACGACGACGACGACGAGCCCCTCGCCCGCCTGCCCGACCGCGACCGTCAGACTCCCTTCCAGCGACGACGATGACGACGGCGACGGCGATGGCAACGACGACGACGGCGGCGACGGCGACAGAGACGACGCCTGGCGCTGGCAAACGACAGCGAGAAGGACGACAAAGGGTGGCCTTAAGTCGGGCGTGTCCCTCTACAGGAGAAATAATCAAAAATAGTAAAAAGTCTGGGGACCATTTTTCTAGATTTGTTTACCATCTTTGAATGTGTTTTGACTATGCCATATTTTTCGCGGAAAATCGGCCTGTATGGGGGACATGCCCGACCTGAGGGTGGCCCCCCCCCCAGACTTCTGGGGACGGCGGCGGGCTCGAGGCCTCCCACCCTGCCTGACGCTCGAGCTCTCCCCCCGTCGCGGGGAGAGGGGAGCCTCGCCCCCCCCTCGGTGGCAGCTCGCGGGAGCCTCGCACGCCATCTTGCTCGGGGGCGTCCCCGACGGGGGCGTCCAAGAGGGGCGTTCGCAAGTCACGGCCCGAGGCGTGCGCGTGGCCATTGGGGGGGCAGGGGACGTCTGACCCCAGCGAGAAGCGCCAGTCCGTGGATGGGCCGATGCAGAGATCTGTCTTAGAATGTGTGCAAGTGCCGTGCGCCAACGTTTTTGCACGTATGCATGTACCTTTCCACTCCGTATCCATACCCCTCTCCCTCTCGATGGTAGTGTGTGTATATATATATATATATATACTAGAACCATCGCGCGCGCTTCGCGCGCGCTCAAGTTCTAGCTAGGCTTGATAGGCCAACTCATGTACTCTCATGTTGGTCGCTTCTTGGGACTCCCTTGGAGGCCCTGCGCAAGCCTCGGAATCGTATAGAAGGGGAAGTGCGGAAACGCAGAAATCAGCAATGTCCTTTTAGGTATTCACCGATTTGGGGCCCTCAAGGGCTTCCTGGGCTCTTTTGGGGGAGGTGAAGGGGGTCTGAATTGTGGTCTATTGTGCAAGAGTAGACCAAGGGCCAAACTTGACAAAAAAGGAACTGTGGGATTTCCATGGTTTTTCCAGTTCCTCGGCGCTGTTCGGCGCTGGTCTCTGTTCGTGCCTCGCGGGTTCTGTCAGCCGGGCTCCTTCAGGGGTGTGGGATCTTCCAGAGACCCCCTGGGGTTTCTGGAGGCCCCCGAGGCCTGGAGAGCCGTCGGAGGGGTGCCTCGGGCTGCGCGGGAGCGCGTTGGACCGTTCTTTACGCTCCGGGGGCTCCTCGGGGTTGTCACGAGCGGTCCGTCGGCGTCGTGGGGTCTCCACCTGGGAAGCCGGGACACGCGGTACCGGCCAGGTGTCGGGGGATGCGTGGGTTCTCCGAGTAGGAGTCCCACTTTGAAAAAAAGGAATTCTGGGAATTCCCTTTTTCCAAAATCCTCGATCTTCGAGGGTTGGAAGCGGGACAGCGGGAGAAGGCGAAACACATTAGAAAAACCATAGGGAATCAACGATTTTACCCCCTTTGGGCTCTCTCGGAACGGCTCTCGCAGCTCTCTTGGGCTGTTCTTGGAGCCTCGTCGGGGTCTTTTGGGGGCCTCTCAGGGATCGGAGGTGTGTTGGGGGCCTCTGGGGGGTCCCGGAGGCCTCTCGGAGGTCTCTGGAAGCCTCCTGCTCCCGCTCTTGGACCCATCTTGGGCCTGTTCTGGGGTGGTCTGGGGCTGTCCTGGGCGCCTCTTCGGCAGCTTTGGAGCCTTCTTGGCCCGTCTTGGCGCCGTCCTGAGGTAACCTTGGGGCGGTCTTGGGAGCCTCTTCGGCGCTCTTGGACCGTTGGAAGCTCGAAACCGCGATAAGCCAAAAACATTGGAAAAAAAAACACATGAAAATCTGCGATGTTGGCATCTTCGGGCCGTCCTGAGACGCCTCTCGGACCTCTCTTGGGGTCTCTTGGAGGTTACTTGGGAGCCTCGAGCCGTCGGAAGGCTGACTTGAGCTGCTTGGGAGCATCTTGGACAATCCTTTCGCAGTCTGGGCGCTACTGGGAGTCGTCTTGGGCCCTCCTGGAGCGCTGTGGAGGCTCCCCGGAACGCCCGAGGGAGCGGTACCCGGAGCGTCCCCGAGATGTGGCGGAGAGGTGTGGCACCCGGGCTGGGGGGGGCGGTATTTATGTAGATTATAAAACTATGTGTATAGCGAACCCTGGCACCAGGAATCGGGAACCCGGAACCCAGCCGCCCACCGAGACCAATCCGAAACCCGGAAACGGGAACCGGGAACCCAAAACCGGAAGCCAAGCCGCCCACCGAGACCAATCGGGGACACGGAAAAGGGAACCAAGAACCCAGGACTGGGAACCCGGGAATCTGGCCGCCAACCGAACTCTGCGGCGAAGTTTCGCCAAGACCAATCCGGAACCTGGAAACAGGAACCCGGAACCCAGAACGGGGAACCTGGGAACCCAGCCGCCTACCGAAATCGGCGCCGAATGTTCATCAAATCTTTCGATATCCGCTGGGACCCCTGCAGTGCAAGCACTGATTGGGGAATTAAAACAAGAAGAGGCGCCCTGAAATCTGGGGAAGTATCATGGCCTTGGCCAATCCACCCACCCCCTAGTCATCACCTCCCTCCTGGGCGCCCCCGACTTGTTGGCTCCTGCGAACCGACGCTAGTCGACGCTAATTCGACGCTAATCGACGGCAGATTGGCGCTGCCTCATCCATTACCAGACGCTAGTCGGCGCTAAGGCACTCTAAAGACCGAGTTACGAGGGTACACAAGGCTCCCATGATTTGCTACCGAACCCCCCTGGCTCAGCGTACTCCAGATTTCGTAATAAAAGGGAGGGGGTCTCAACCCTCCTAGACGTGAAGTTTTAGACCCCCCCCCGTGGGAGAACCCTCCAAAACATCGTCCCCAGACCCCCCCAGGCCCTCCAAGATAGCCTGAAAGAGCCCCCCCCGAAATGAGACCCCCATCCCTTTCTTACGAAATCTGGAGCAGCCTGAGATCCGACGGCGCGGAAAAATTTGACCATCGTCAAAGACACGGCCAGAGCCCTTTACCCCATCCTGCTGCTGCCCTGCTCGAGCCGCACCGATCTGCGAGGGCCTGGGAGCCCGAGAACGGACGAAAAAACGATACACCCTGCGAAATGCTTAAGAAACCATGGGTTCAGAAATTCATAGTCTCAGAAATTCAATTAAAACCCAACATTTCTATTTAAATCTTAGGATTTACATCCAAAAAATAAGAATAATCGAGACCCTGGCCGAAAACTTGGGTTTTCTTAAGCATCGCCCAAGGTGTACGCTGCCGGAGCGCCGCGCGGAGGTCTCGGATCCGCGCTGGATAGTTACCCCGGCCGGGAGCGGCGCACGAGAGGCGCCGCCAGGGGGGTCCAGCGCAGATCCAAGAGATCCCGCCGTCGGAAACCTCTGCTTGCGCCGCTTCCCTTCGAACCGAGACATCAGGAACGCAGAGCAAGGAACGCAGAGTAAGGAGCGCAAAGTCAGGAACGCAACGCGAGGAACGCAAAGTGGGCAACGCAAAGGTGGAGTCGGCGTCCTGACATCAGGAACGCAAAGCGAGGAACGGCTGAGCTCTGCTGGCCGCGGCGAGCTGCGGCCACGGATGGCATCCCCGCCCGGGGTCTCGAGCACCGCCCGAAAGACAGACCCCTCAAGGTGGCCCTCACTCCAGCGTCCTGACACAAGGAACGCAAAGTAAGGCACGGGTGAACTTTGCTGGCCGCGGCGAGCTGCGGCCACGAATGGAGTCCCCGCCCGGGGTCTCGAGCATGGGAAGGCACAAACTATACACCAACACCGATCCTGGCCAGGATCACCCTGGGCCCAGGGTCGGTGTATACGCCCTCCTGCCTTGCGCAAGAAGGCACATGCACCGATCCTGGGCCCAGGGTGATCCTGGGCCAGGATCGGTGTTGGTGTATAGTTGGTGCCCTCCGAGAGCACCGCCCGAAAAAGCAGACCCCTCCCGAGCCCAAGTCGGGGATGGACAGACCCCCCTTTAGCAAAACGTGGTTTAGTGAAAACGACCTGAGGCCCAAACCTGGCGGGCGCAAGCCTGGAAAATAACGGCCACGGCGCCCTCTCGAAAACCGAAAACGGACAATTCACCAATCGACGTGTCACTGTTGGGGGTTCTGTCCACCCCCGACCAAGGTGGCCCCCACTCCAGCGTCTCGACTCAGCTCAGGAGGCGCTCTCTCCGACATGTCGGCGCGGATCCGGGAAATCCGCGCGGAGCTCCGACCGGTTGGTGTGCATGCCGCTTCTTAGTTATTACTGATATATTAATATTCTTACGATTGATACTATGATTCTTATGATTATGCTTGGTTTAAAGGTATTGCTATCAGTTTTCTTCCTCTTCGAATCGAGACGCCAGGATCTCTGGGCACCCATAGGGGGGGAAAGAGGAGGAGGAGGAGGAGGAGGAGGAGGAGGAGGAGGAGGAGGAGGAGGAAGGAGGAGGAAGAGGGAGGGAGGAGGGAGGAGGGAAGAGGAGGAGGAGGAGGGAGGAGGAGCAGGAGGAGGAGGCGGAGGAGGAGGAGGAGGAGGAGGGAGGAGGGAGGAGGGAGGAGGGAGGAGGAGGAGGAGGAAGGAGGAGGAGGAGAGGAGGAGGAGAGGAGGAGAGGAGGGAGCGAGGAGGAGAAGGGAGGAGGACGAGAAGGAGGAGGAGGGAGCAGGGACGGAGGAGGGAGGAGGGAGAGGGAGGCAGGAGGGAGGAAGGAGGAGGAGGAGGAGGACGGAGGAGGGGAGGAGGAGGAGGAGGAGGAGGAGGAGGAGGAGGGGGAGAGGAGGAAGGAGGATGAGGGGAGGAGGAGAGAGGAGAGGAGGAGGGAGGAGAAGGAGGAGAGGAGGGAGGAGGAGGAGAGGCAGGAAGGGAGGGAAGGGAGGAGGGAGGGACGGGAGGAGGAGGAGGCAGGGCGAGGAAGGAGGAGGAGGAGGAGGACGGAGGAGGAGGAGGAGGAGGAGGAGCAGGAGGGAGGAGGAGGGAAGGAGGAGGAGGAGGAGGCGGGAGGAGGGATGTGGGAGGAGGAAGGAGAGGAGGGAGGAGGAGGAGGAGGCGGAGGAGGAGGAAAGGAGGAGGAGGAGGAGGAGGACGGAGGAGGAGGTAGGAGGAGGAGGAGGAGGCAAGGGAGGAGGAGGAGGAGGAGGAGGAGGAGGAGGAGGGGAGGAGTGGCGCCCTTTCCGACCTCGGTGGCGGTGCCAACATGGAGCCAACCCCAGGGGGAGGCGGACGCGCAGAGAGCCGGCCCAGCGCGCCTGCGGGTGCCGCCCGAGGACACGCGTCACTCAATGGACCTGTGCAGGCGGCCCCGCCGCTCGGCCGGCCGGAATGGGACGCAGCAGGACACCACCTCCTCCCTCCTCCCTCCTCCTCCTCCTCCCTTCCTCCTCCTCTACTCCTCTTCCTCATCCTCCCTTCTCCTCCCTCCTCCTCCTCATCCTCCCTCCTCCTCCTCCTCCTCCTCCTCCTCCTCCTCCTCCTCCTCCTCCTCCTCCATCCGTCTTCCTTACATGTGACTCCTCCTCGTCGCACCACCAAACTGGTCTGTCGGGCGAGCTGGGCGTTTCGCATGATTACTCGTCAATGTTATGATCGCGAAGCTGAAATGTGCAAATAACTGCAAAGATGGAGGGCCACTGGCTTTCACATAATGTAGCTCTCTCCAAAGTGCCGCGCACATGCGACTTCTCAACTTCCACCAGCCAAAAGGATGGAGGGCGAATGGTCTTCAAAGTGTGGCTCTCACTCGCCGCGCACATTTGTCTGAAAAGGTCCAAAGGCTAGAAAGACGGAAGGCTGGCACTGTACCGAATGTCGCTCTCGCCCTGGCGCCGCGCAGATCCGTCCCGAAAGCTTGCAGCCGTCATGAGGATGAAGAGCGGTTCTGTTTCGACATGCGGCCATCGCCTCGGCGCCTGACCTGGGGTGCGCTGTCCCTGCCCTCTGGACCCTGGACTCGGGAAGCTCACGGGAGCAGAGAGACCGGCCGTGGCGCCGAGAAGCCTCCCGGAGCCCAGGCAGACTGCGGAGAACATCCATCGGCGGCGAGCCTGGGGAGGGGAGGAGTAGGAGGAGGAGGAGGAGGAGGAGGAGGAGGAGGAGGAGGAGGATGCACGAGCCTCAGGCGGCGCGCGTGACCCGCCGCCCGCGCTCGCCGCGCGCCCCACGCGCGACGGGCTCGCGCTCTCAGCGAGCGCCCGCACGCCACGGCCCCTCGGGCTCGGCGTGCCGCCAGCGCGACGGCCTCACGGGCCGCACAGGCCGTCGGCCCGCCGCGCCAGGAGGAGGGGAAGCTGGCCGTCACCCTTCACTCCTGAGCGGGTTGATGGCCACCGCGACCTTGCCCGAGATCGCTGGGGCGAGCCGCCTCTCCAGGCGCGCCACGGCCAGCAGCCCCTTGGCCGACGCGCGGCCGCACGGCGGCGCGAAGCTGGAGGCCCTGGCCGCCCCCAAGGCTCCGCAGGCGGCGCACGCGACCAGCGGCATGTCGCGGCGCAGCTCGACGTCACGCTCAGGCTCGATGCGCACGAGCACGTGCGTGCTGAGCCCCCTGGCGGCCAGCTCGGCGTTGTGCTGGAGCGCCGCTGGCACGATGGTGCCTGGGCACTCGCCTGAGCGCTCCACCCAGCGGCAGCGGCTGCACCACCGCTTGCCAGGCTCCCCGCGCCAGGCACAGGAGAGCCTGGCGGCCGGCTGCGCCAGCAGCGCCTTCGGCGCGGGGCGCTGCGGCTTCGCCACGCGGTGGGTGGTGCCCCTGCCGTCCAGCGCGCCGCCCACCGCCGAGACCCAGAGCGCGACGCCCTCGACCAGCTTGTCGGCCATGACGAGCCTCCTGCGATCCTGCTGGCGGATCCGTCCTGCCGCCGCCGCCGACTTGGCGGCCTTGTCCGCCATGCCGTTGCCCAGCCAGTCGCGGTGCGAGATCTTCCCGTGGGCGACCATCTCCCTCTGCGTCTGGTGGGCGGGGACCTTCCTGACCTTCAGCCCGCCGTCGCCCAGGCCGCCGAAGTCCTCCAGCTTGGCCCAAACCTCCCTCCAGAGGTGGGCCCACGCCGCGCCGTGCGCGGTGGTGCGCCTCGGGCCCAGCTCCAGCAGGCCGCGGTGCACGAAGCCGCTGTCCACGACGACGGTGACGGGCGGCACCGCGAACCTGAGGACCATCAGGAGCGCCATGAGCTCACCGCCGTTGATGTCGACGTGGGGCTCGCACAGCATCCCCGACGCCCCGCACAGGAAGGCGTCGGCGTCGGCCTCGAGCGCGATGACGGCCCAGGCGACGCTCGCGTACTGCTCGAAGTCGCCCTCGTACTGCGAGCCGTCCAGGTAGAGCTCGCCAGAGGGGAAGAAGCCGTCGCTCTCGCCCAGCCAGCAGACGTGCGGCGACGGGGCTGGCTTGACGATGCCAGTCGGCGCCGCCCACAGCACGCGCTCCAGCAGGCAGCGCACTTCGGGCAAGTCCGACCTCGCCGCCAGCTCGCGCATCTTGTCGGGCAGCCTCAGCTCTGGCGGCCAACCCGCGCAGCTGCCACAGTGCCTGTGGAGCAGGGTGCCGACCTCGCCGCACAGCAAGCACGAGTCGTCCGAGGCCATGCCCTTCTCGTACTTGCGGCTCTGGCACCACTGGCCGTCGGTGACAACGGATGCTAGATACCCTCGCTCTTTCAGCGTGAGCTTGATGGATGACTGCTTGCCTTCCATGGGATTCGGTCCATGGTCCATCTGCACTGTTGCTCGTCCATGGCGTGGCGACGCTGGCCGCTGCCCAGCGGGTCCTGACCTCTCGAGCACAGCAAAAACAGGCGACGTAGACCCCTGGCCAGCGGGTCCTGACCTTTCGAGCTCAGCATGTGGCGACGCGACCGCTGGCCAGGGGGTTCTGACTCCGAGCTCGGCAAAGCTTGGCAACGTCGACCGCTGGACAGCGGGTCCTGACGCTAACTCTGGGCAGACCGCCATCGCCAACGGAGGGACTGAGGCAGCGTCGGCGACACCAGCTGAGGCCACCGCGGCGCGCCTGGCAGGCGTCTCGTCGAACTGCTCCTCCGCGCTGAACATGGACTGCGCGTGCCGCGCCGCCTGCACGTCCCACTCGTCAGGGTCCTGCACTGCCAGCCGCATCATGTTGGCGTGGTAGCGGGCTCTGATGCGCTTCCTGGCCGACCAAGCCGACTCGCAGAGGTCCTGGGCCATCTTCAGCCTGGCCACGCCGAGGTTGTCGATGTCGAGGGAGCGCGCCGTCTCGGTGACTAGCGGCAGCCACGTGCCGTGCGCCAGCAGGTCGGCCACGTAGGAGACGCAGAGCCTTAGCCAGTGGGCCTTGTTACCATCCTCGTCAAGCGTGGCGATGTCCTGGATCCAGAAGGTGGTGTAGGCCCTCAGCCGCTTCTCCAGCACCATGCGCGCGTGCACAGCCGCCCTCCTCACAGGATCTTGATCCTTGGCCTCCATGACAGCCAGCTGCCGACCGAAGACGCCCTTGCGGCTGACGGCACCCGAGGAGGTCATCGTGATCAAGGGCGCGATGACCCCCCCGCTCGCGAGGTGCTCCAGGCCAGGCCCTTTGCTAACCTCACGCCATTGCCACGCTTGAACTGCTCGCAGGAGAATGCGCTTGACCGACCACGGCCCCAGCTCGAAGACATGAATGTCGTAGCCCTCATGCGTGCGCCACAAAGTAGGGCTCAGCACCTGCCAGCCAACTCTCTCGAGCGTGAGCCTCACCGCGCTGAAGGGGCCCTTGACCTGGCTCCAGCTCGCCGCCTGGCAGCAAGTGAGGCCGTAGGCGATGATATGCTGCGGGATCCAGCACTCCCACGCCGCGCGCAGCATCATCAGCACTGGGAGCAGCGTGGCCCTGATCATCGGGTCCAGCATGGGCGTCAGCATAAGCGTCAGCGTGCGCGAGCGACCGTCAACGCTGGGGGCCACTGCCTTGAAGGTCGCCGTGCGCAGCGTGTCCAGCTCCATGGTGGCGCAGCCCGTGACCGCGACGCCGTAGGTCACGCTGGGCTCGATCCCAGCACGGGCCACCTTGCGCACGGCCTTCTTGCGCCCAGCCCCAGTCTTCAGGATGGCCACGCGGCGCTGGCGTAGCCCTGCTTGAACCAGCTTCTCCTGCCGCACCTTGCGCACGATGCGCCTGCCGCAGGCGAAGTCGATGCCCAGGTTGCGCTCGCCCTTGACGGAGAGCACGCCGAGGGGACGGCGTAGCCGAGCGGCCAGGGCGTGCCGGCCTGCTGGGAGGTTGGAGAGCGCCCTCGACTTCTTGACCGCCACGTTGAGGTCGACGTCCAGCAGCAGCATCTTGAGCTCGAACGCTGCTTCTGCCACCTCCTTAGTCACACGCACGAGCCCGCCAACTCGGTGCAGCATGAGGTCGTCCACGACGACGGCCAGAGAAACTGTCGGGTGATGTAATACCAGGCGATCCAGCGGCCCGATCAGAATAAGCTTCAGCAGCGCCGTCGCGAAGCCATCACCTGGGAGGATCGACTGCCTGGCCTCGATCACGCTCGAGGCCGCGTTGCCCATGCAGAGGACCCGAGGCGCGCAGTAGAGCTCCAGCGACAGCTTGAGCTGCCAGAGGGGAAACCCCGTGGCGACGGCGGCGTCCAGCAGCCAGTGGTGGCGCACCTGCTCGAACGCCTTGAGCAGGTCGAGCAGCACCGCCACGGCCACCCACGACTCGGCGTCCCCGCAGTCGACACCGCGCTGCGTGGCCCACTCGCCGATCGCGGCCTGGTGCCACACCGCACGCTCGCAGCTGCGGCCAGCTGCTGCCCACCAGTAGGGGCGGTCGTTGTCTTGCTCCCACTTGCGCGCGACGCCTCGGCGCAGCCGCGCCTGCACCCTCGCCAGCACCATGATGACGGCGATGGGCCTGACGCCGCCGAGCCGCTTCTGGATGAAGCCGATCTTGGTTGTCATGAGCGGCCAGGCTGCTTCGCGCTCGACGGCCACTAGGATGTCGATCAGCACCTCCAGCGCTTCGTCGCACAGCTCGTCTAGCTGCCGCGGCCGAACGGAGCAGAAGGACATGCCCGTGCTGCCCTTGAACGAGCGCAGCACCTTGCGGAGCTCGGGGACCGTGGGCCTGGGCGGCCTCTCGCCGAGGTCGGCTGGCCACTGCAGCCGCACTTGCTCACAGGTAGTCCTCCACCAGCGGCTCCACTCGACCTCCAGCGCCGTGACCTGCTGCCCCAGGTCCATGGGCTCGAACAGCTGCTGGTGGTCGTCGGCGTCCTGGCCGCCCACGGCGTCGCCGTACGGGCTGGAGTCGAACCCGACGGGCAGG